ACCACTGTCTTCTGACCTTTGGTGTAGAGCTTAGATAGAGTTATTACCTTAGCACCAGGTCTGGATCTACGAAGTTCAGATTCCTCCAGGTGGATATTGCTTTGATCTGGCTGCTGTGCTCCACTTGTTTCTGCTGCAGCTGTTAGAGTTAAAGCCTTTGTGTCTCTCTGGGAAGATGTTCTGCTCCTGAATCAGCTTGGTGGGTCTTGCCTGTAGCCTCTTTGCAGGGAGTTCTGCTGAAGGGTTCTGCACTGGGCCTGCGCTCTGGGTCTATTCAGGATCCCGCAGCCCCGGGCAGTCTCTCTCCCTCGCTGGACCTGTGCTCTGAGTCTTTTCAGGATCCACGGGCTCGGGTCGTCTCACTCACTCTCTGGACCTGCGTTCCTGGTCTATTCCATATTACTTTGTTAAGTGAAATTCTGCATCACTTGTAATTTTTTCTTTTTTAATTCTAATTTGTACTCTCTTTAAAAAAGAAAATAAATAAAGACAACATAACTCAACATTTTTATTGCTAAGGAAAGTAAACTTGAATACAATGTACTCTAAGTTTTCATCTTTCTATTTTCTGTACTGGTTTATTATGGATACCTGAGTGTATCTACAGACATTCTGTTACTGTATACCATATTTGGTAACAGACAAAAAAAAAAAAAAAGATCATTTGAAAGACAAAGAACTGACTATTTTCTGGTTGATGAGCACAACATGTTGGCTGGAAACCAGGTGAACAGGCACAAAGCTGGTTAAAGACATTTCTGTTAATGTTTATCGTGAGACAAATAGAAGAAAAGGGCAAAGTAAGAATTCGAGTTACAGAAAAGGAAGGCAAAAAATACTCACCTTTTCCAGAAAATTGCATTTAAATGACAAATTTTAGCTTAGTTTAGTAAAAGGTCTAGTACATTGCCTGGCACACTGATAAATGGTAGTTTTTAAAGAAAGAACAAAGTGTGCTACCGTGCTAATGAGAGACACAGAGGGGAGTTACTGGCCCTCTCTCTGCAGTGGCCTTACCAGATCTGGCCTCACTCGGTGAACGAGGGGAAAGGAGAGCCACATGGAGTGCAAGGTGCTGAGCACGGACGAGAGCCAGGACTGCTGGACCTCACGGCTTCGTGGAATCCGGTGAATGTAGCACTTGCTAGCCTGGAGAGAAACAGCAGAAACCCATATCAACCGGGTCACTGATGCCAGAGGTAAACACAGTTAACATGTGTACAAAGAGAAAATGCTTTCTTGTTCATTTCTTATTTTCATGCCACCCCTTTCAAAATTAGCGTTATAAAATCTATTTTCATGATTTATCTAACATTCACATTATTGGCTTATGACAGAAAAGCTCCCACGTATCATTCAAAAACATGCTAAAGTAGGTTTTGACAGTAAGTTTCTATACAATATGGGCAAAGAGCTTATAAATCAATGCAAAGATAAAATCACAACAAGATGTGCAAAGAAGGTGGATATTTGCAAACAGAAGACATATAAATAGCTAAGAAACACAGAAAGATGGTTAATAATAGAAGAAAGCAGTCATTTTTCATTTACCTAACTAACAATGATTGTAGCTATTAGTAGCTCTTAGGAGCTGTTGAAGATGTAGGGAAGTTAACATTTATATTCCCTGATCAGATACATTGGTACAACTTTTTGGAAGGACAACCTGGAAGTACCTGTCAGAATTTAAATGTGTCTATCCTTTGATCCAGGGGTTTTGTTTCTACAAATACAACCTGCAGATTTATCCATCTACCGATTTACCCATCTACCCTCTGTATCACCGTATATATTTGTAGAAATTGGAAACATTAAATAGTCTTCAACAAGTTCATATAATAAAATATATGGAGGTGGCTGGCCAGATAACTCAGCAGACTAAGGCACCTTAGGCAGAGCAGAGCGGCTGGGGTTCGTCTAGAACATGCTGTGCCACCCTGCCCCCGAAGCCTGCTGAGAAGGCGACTGAGCTTCACCTTACCAGGCGTGCACCTGTAATCCCACCACTTGGGGGGCTGAAAACAGGAGAATCACTACAAGTCTGATCTATGTAGTGAGACTCTGCAGACCTTATACTAAATACATTAAAAAATAAAAAAATTGAAATCTGTTTAAAAAAATATGGAGGTATATTAACATGACACACATGTCTATGAATTTATATAGAAGATAGCACATTAAATGAAACTTCTAAGTTGTAGGACCATATCTTTAATATGACTCAGTGTCTTAGCAAAAAACTCACGCATACTTTTTATACACATATGCTTTTTATACATACATACATACATACATACATACATATATACATTAGTATTTGCATGGAGAAAATCTGGAACAAAAATGCTGTAAATTATAGATAAGATAGAGGATATTTTCATTTGGCTTGTTATATACATCCACGTTTGAAATTCATAAGAATATATTATTAGTTTAATTATCAAAGAAACCAATACATCATCCCTGAATCAAAGTTCCAGGTATATTAGTCATTTATTGCTATCTCAAAATTTAGCAGCTTAAAGTGACAAATAACTACGGTTCCTCACAACTTGTAAGGGTCAACAATCCAGGAGTGACTTGGCTGGACTGGAATGTCTTGTGAACTAGAAACCAAGTTGTTGGCTGGGGTTACAAACAACTCAGGACATGACTAAAGCTGGAAATACACTTCCAACACTGCTTGCCCATATATCTGGTAATTTAGTGCTGAGAGTTAGCTGACAGTTTGCCACAGGAAACTTTTACAGAGCTATCTGAATGTTCTCATCAACAGCTTAGGGGCTGAGGCTGGGTGGAGGCAGCAGGTCACTGGGGGCAGGACCTGGAAAGGTCTTTCTGCCTGGTACCTCCCTTCTCTCTGCTCCTGGCTGCCATGAGATGAACAACTGCCCTCCACAAGGCCTTTTTACTGTGCTACTTCTGCCTTGGAGTCAACCAACCACAGAACGAAACAGCCAAAATCAGCCTGGATACTTTTTCCCCACTAATGAGTGAGTGACTAAGATATGGATCCAAAGGCTTATGGTACTTAACACTGAACTAAAAACTAATACTGGGTAGTTTCCAAATGACAGAACATATAGGAGAAATAACTAACCAGAGTTAAGCTTTTTTGAGGTTTGTGCATACTTAATTTGTAGTGATTATTAGAGATTATTAATTTAAAAATCTGTAGTAGGACAAGAAGTACTACAGAGCCTAAGATCTGTTCTTAAAAACCTTTCAGGTCATAATGTGTGATTAGGAAAGATGATGCATGTAACATACCTGTATTATGCAATATTCTCCATTGATCTTTGAGAAAAGAATCATTAATATTTCTGCATTAAGCTATTTTTCCTCTCCAATTGTTATGGAATTTTGTTTTATTTTTTCATAGAAATAAATACTTTTTCATATTTTTATTAATAGCCATTTGTATTGCATTAAATAAAAATATAAAACAATTTGAAGTGAAGAAAAAAATGTGAATGGGCCGGTGATAGCTCAGCAGACTAAAGCTCCTGCTCAGGCAAGCTCAGGCAAGCGCAGGGACCACGGCTTGATCCCTGGCACCACGTGCTCTGCCAGCACCCCATGCATCCAAGCTGCATGGTGAGACCGTGTAACAATGAAATACATTAAAAAAAGAAAAAATAAGAATATTCATAGGGATAAAATCAAGGTTTTGTTGTTAAATAAGTTTGTGAAAAACTTTAATTTTTTCCAGTTTTTAGTATTTCAGATAAGGAACTATGCATCTTTATTACAAAATATATTGAATCCAATAAGATGTCAGGTCATTGTGATTATCATGAGAAAAATAACCCAGTAGGGTTTTTTAAAGTTTCTGGATATTACTTTCATCAAATTTTGTGACCTGATCTCAAAAAGTGAAATATTGTCTTTTTTGTTTTTAAAAAAGGCATGAATATTTATCATGTTCTTTCAATTTTTTTCTTAGGGCTGTGAGCACACAACTTTGTAGAGAAGCAATGGACAACGTATCTGGACTATATGTACGCAGTGTCCCTAGAGAACTAAAAGGTGCTCAGACTCACTTTGGTTCTTCTGAGTTCATCTTAGCTCCAAGGAGGAAAATACTCAGGTTTGGAAAGACGGGGTGCTAGTAAAGACAGCTTTTCTAAACCTGGATATGGAAGAAGAGCTACAGACTCTTGGCTATACGGTGTCACCTTGTATGGGAGTATACAAAGGGCCTACTACAAGCAGCCTGAATAAACCAAGAAAATGGGTTTGGGAAGTTCCAAGTCATTCTCCCCGAAGAATAGAGACGAGAGAAGTCAGGTTCTAGATGGAAAGTATGGGGCCTGTAAGTAGTAAGCTGAACAAACAGGAGTGAGGGTAAGACAGTAAGATTAGTAACTGAAGCCCAATAAACTCTCTTTTAACTCCTGAGCACATCACTCAAGCCTCCAGACTAGACGCATAGCTGGGAAGGGCTGTGTTAGTTCCACCTGTGTGCTGGAGCTGGCTGCACCAACGATCACGAGCCTAGAGTGACCAATCACTCACTTGGCCTGCAGAGCATGACTCATTTACACTTGTTGTCTCAGCATAATCACAAACAGTGCCCACCCTGCTTTCAGAAGCGCTCCAATAAAAATAAAAATATATACTTATCCACAGGGTTGGGTAAAAGTAGCTTTTTCCAAGTTAGAGGGAAGAATATTAATGCAGGACAGCCTAAGAGTCAATATATGTGAGAATCTGCATTAAGGACAAGGTCTCCATCTCAGGAGGACAACTGGAGTAAAGTCAAGCTTGAAGTCCCCACCATGAGATGAACATTACCAGCAGGGGTCAAGGGAGGCCACGTGGTGTCATTCTCAGGCTTACTGCTCTAGGGAAGCCTCCACCATCAAATCCCACACAAGTCTTTCTCACATTATTTAAATGTAATTTCAGATAATTGCAAATCCTACCAAGAAAAGATTACTCTCTAAATTCAAGCCTCTCATAATTATAGTGATCAGTTCTCCTCAAAGGCTTCTTTCTGGACTTATATCACGCGTAATCCACAGAAGTGGGGCCAGGGTAACTGACGTCCTTCCTGTACTTCCTATAGCAAACACCGAGAGCCTGACCACAACAAAATCAGGAAAGTGTTTTATTTTACATAGTTTTAGAACATAACCAAATGCGCAAAAAGATTAATGGGGGGAATGATCAATAGAAGCCTGTATTTTGGTCTTGACAAAAGTTCTTTTGAAGACAAAGGAACAGAACGGAGATTCAGAGAGTTACAATTTAGGCCTGACTATGGCAGTTGACTAATAATTCCTGAGAGTTGTGGCATCTAGGGAAATTCAAATAACGGGAGTCTGCACAGCCTTACAATTTTTCTTCATCTTGTGCCTTTCCCTTTGGGAAACTGTGTCTGATTTTCTTCTATAGTGGACTGAAGGATATAAAGATGTCCCTTACAGAATTTTATCACCCCTCCCACATAACCCACTGTTCCTCAGTAGTGGTCACATGACCCAAGCATGGTCTTCTTTTCCTAGATTCTTAAGGGGGAATTCAAGGGAAAAAATTCCTCCTTTCAGGTATCCTATGGGCTGCAAGGCTAGCTTTCAATCCGTTCTACTGAGGCTAAGAAATATATACATATATATTCAGTGGGCTTTTTGACAATAACTCAAAACTGAACTATCTTATTTACTAGAAAAGACAAGCTACTCCTGCATTTCCAGGTCAGAAATCACATAAGTGGAAAAGTAGCATCTATCAAAGATTTCTTGCACAGAAATAAACATTTATATGGGGACTGGCAGAGATGGGAAATAAGGGGGTCAACTCCATTTTTATGGCTTCCAAAACCTTTCCAATACTCCATAGCTATCTACTTATTAACGTTCCTGCTATTTGTACTCAACAAACATTTGTTGAATAGGTAAATGACTATCATTATAGCCTCTAAAAGTCCAGTCTATGGTCTGTGCTGGGGAAAGGAAATGGCTGGCTCTTAACCTCATATCTCAGGGTTGTAAGCGACCAGAAAACTCTATCTCCTCACTTCCCACATGACAATGCTGGACTTTCTCAATGTGGCTGTGCAGGAATCTGACTCAAGGTCTTCCATGTGTCTTGAAACCTGTGCCTGAGTCACCATGCCACAGACGCTTCTTCAAGCTCTGTGCCTC